ACAATAGGCATTTATAATGGACTTTAAGATTAATGCATAATAAAGATTTCTGCACTCATTTGTAGAAACTTTGGATAGCAATCAATCCGGATCATTTTTACATGAGTACCTTGAAGTAAATGCGTTACAATTTGATTCAAGTAAATGTCAGACTGTTTGATCAATCATGCCATCATGTGAGAAAGTTGCTTTGATCTGTGCTGACCAACAGCATTATACAGCAGCGCATTTTACTAATGACTCATAACCTGTTTTTCCTGTGCGCTGTAAAAATGTCTTGATGTTGCAAGAATCCTACATGAATATACTCATGCAGTACATTATTTCATCACACGGTTACTAACATAAAATTACTTACACTGTTACAGTAATTCGGAAAGTTGGTTTTTGAGTATCCTAAAATCTGAGGTTTTCACTAAGTGCAGAACTATAAAGGTCCCAAATGGCTAAAGAATGATAAATTATGAGTCGTTGTTTTTTAATTGAACTTTAAACTTTAACATTGAAGTCTACATTCAATGTTGATATGAAAGTCTTTTACCCCTCCTTATGTTCAATACAAACTTGTTAAACATTTTGCACCTATGAATACAACGGTGTTTCTCAAGAAAAGACTTCAGGACTTCTTTTTTCTTTTTCAGTAATCTGTACAGTAATTGTGTTTTCGGTAGTTACCTGGGAAGCACGTGTTGGAAGATTTTATATTGAAAAACGTATCTTTCTACACATGATTGAGGGTTTGTAGAACTTTGTCTGCTTGCTTACAAAGTTTGAAAGGAAGTTGGTTGATAGTAAATTATTTTCGCTGTCTATTGGTATAAACAACTTTTCAAAACCAGTAAAAGCTGCTCTTCTCTGTAGTGTTTTTGGAATAGAAGGTAAAGGCAGTAAACTTATTTTTTCCATTTAGAAGGCTGTTGCAGGCATCGTAGTCTGAAATGATTAAAAGACCCAACCTAAGAGAACTTGTCTTCACCTTCATTTCTCCCTGGGGGTTAGTCAAAGGTAAATGCATTACCTCCTGGCCAGCAGCTCATTAATAATGCAGTGCACTCATATTCCCTGTGTTACACGGGCAGCTACTGTAAATCAGCCAGCTCTCCAGAAAGGTGTATTAATAAGAATATGTTTTAGTGCTGTCCTGCTGATGTCTGTTTCTGTGAATTTACTCCTCTACAGTATGCGGATTGAAATGAGGCTGCCAGATAGGTTGTCTAACAGACTTTACATTTACACAACATACAGTATAACCTGTTTTATTTCCTCTTAGCTTAAAGGTCTGCGGAAATGATCAAAATTTATTCCTGTAATAAAAACAGAATTCAATGTTTAGAAACAAGTTCACATCAGCTCTTTATTGGAGACTAACTAAGGAGTGCATGAATGACCACATTGTTAGAAGTCCACATACTGTGTGTGTTCAGTTTCACATTTCATCTGAAATAAGCATCTAAGGGTCAAGTGAACAGTTGCTTCACTTGGGATATTTAATGGCTACTGATTTACTAAGATCTTGGAGAGGTTCTTCGATCAGTGAGTTAACAATTGCTTGTGTGGGATGGTTTACTTTTCCACCTTTGGCTTGTGATATTTCTTACCTCACTCTAAAAAGCTGATGTAATGGTCTTTCTTTTGAAGATTTTCTTCTGTCGTGGGATTGAGATGTGAAAATGAGAAGAATCCGTAGGGATTGATTTGTCACTACATGTCCCCATTAATGATTTTCACACCTCTTTTAAAGATTGGAACTCCAATGTAATTTATATGCAGATATAATGAAGGGAAACTTTTTAAACTTTCAACTGGAAAAGCAAATGTCACGTGCCATGCAAAGTATTGATATGGTTCGAAATGTCATTGTATTCAGACAGTTTAATTGCAGCGCAGTAATGTAAACACCCTGTAGGTATGAATATAGATCCAAGATGGATCTTGTGTCAAATTTCAAAAGGTGGTCAGGGATTGAGCACTTCTGCCTTATCTGGGTAGTTTATTCCATCACTGATGATTGAGAATGAAGTCCTCTGGAAGATAAAAAAGCAGAAAAGAGGAATGAAATATTTGCCAAAAGAGCAGGAAGTGGAGAGGACAGTAGGGGGAAGTCTCTGATTTTGAATTGGATGCAATAGGTGGCCCTAGTGTAAAGCAGTACATGTGCAAAGCTGAGAAGAGAAACGAAGAGGTGAGCCACAGATTGCTGGATGTGCTGCAGTGGGCGGGTGTCATTGGCAGGGAGTCTGGCCAAAAGGGAATTATAATAGTATTAGCAGGAAACTCCCAAGGCTAATAGTTCTGTAGAACAGGTTGATATATAGGCAGATTTTGCAAACGTTATTTAAGAAGCAATATCAGGAATCTAGAGAAAGAAAGGTAGGGGACACAGGACAAGACTTTGGGACACAAGTCTCACTAGAAGTCGTAGTATATGCAAGTATATGTTATAAAGGTCTTGATTAGTAGATGGCGGGATAATAGTTATCCAATCTTAAGGGTAGCAAAGCAGTCAAGAATGAAGAAAGAGGAAGCAGCATGAGCTTGGTAAAGAATCCATAATGTAGAGGTGAGTACTTTGTCTACTGTGCCAAGCAAATGCCAGATGAGAGAATCAAGATGCATTAGGAGAGGAGAGAGTTTGAGGTCTACCACATGCTTAAAATATTTGGAAGATGGGGGACTAGGCTGTTTTTTAAGAGGTGATGCAAACCTGTTTCAAATGAATGAAAATGAGTTAAATCAGTACAAAAGTACAGGAATATTAAAGAAAGGGGAAGAAGAGGGAAGCAGATGAGAGACTTGTTTTGAAGAGATGAGTGGGAAGAGGATACTGATTTCAAGTGATAGTTCTGGTGGAAGGAGGAAGTGTCTGAGTCAGAGAAGGGTTTGAAGGAGGGCGCACCAGTGAGAGAAATAGGAGCAAGTGGGTAGTGAGTAGGCTGAGGGTGTGGGTTAGTGATTGAGGGAGGAGTTGGAATTTTGGAAGTTTGGGAAATTTTGTAGCTTGTGAATGTCAGAGATTTTAGAGGAGATAGTCATCAGATAAGACAGAGGAGAAAAGCTCACAAAGATTGTTGATTATAGGACTGGATTCAGAAATTTGTCAGAGGCAAGTGCTGAATAGGCAAATGAAGGTTGATAAAGAGTGATTGATATCCCAGATTGGTAGTATAGATCTTTTCTTTTCACATGAGTGCAGCTCAGTTCTGGCTTAGGAATGTGAAAGGGAAGACTGGACAGGGTGAGAAGTGAGTGGACAGAGGGTGTCAAGGGAGTAAAAGGAGATAAGACTATGCAGGTACTGTAGGTGAGTTCATATTCTATTAAGGGAGCAGCTAGAATACTAAGATGTTGAAGAATTAACAGAATAGACAGACAGAGGAAGGGAAGAAGGTTAGTCCTTGAAGAAGATGAGACCCAACTTTTGTGAGCAGGGGCAGACAGACAGAGAGGGAGAAGTCGAGAGTGCGCAAAAGGGGATGTAGCCCAACATAGGAAGTGTTTGGAAAGGTGGAAATCGCCAAGCAAGATCCCCATGTGTAGAGGGAGAGGGGAGGGAAGTCATCTGTCAACAAAGGAAATAAGAGAACATAGCAGCAGAGTACAAGGCTAAAAGGCGAAGTTAAATGAGTTTACTTAAGATATGAAATTTGAATGTGACAAGAGAAAGAGGGACAGGGGGGAGGATTTGAAGGAGAACAGCGATGAAGGAGAGAGCAGCATTCTAATGGGACTGCTCCATCCAAGGAGCTGAGGGAAGTCAGGACACAGAGGAGGGGACTGCTGGAGTGGTCCATATTTTTAGGGTAGCTTATGGTTTTAACAGATTTATATATAGGAACCAACACCAGTACATGCATTGGATTCCCTAGTTCATTGTGCGAAGTGTCAGATCTTAATTCTTGATGGTATTATAAACTGAAACTTTGTTTAAAGCTGGTAAAGTATTGTAACATACTGTTGCTGTACCATGTTCATCATATGTTTTTTCAATATATTTTCTGTAAAAGGAAACAGAACTACATGTATATTTAATTGTGGAATAGAATAAATGGTATAGGTATATACAAGATTTTGGACAGTAAAGCACACAGTGAACATAGATTTTTTTAAAAATTAATTTTAAATCCCCAAAAATTAATCTAAATTTATCAAAGGAAAGTTATACATATGTGCTCACAGTTAATACTTAAAGTCCTCCGTGTGCGTACCATTTAAAACAGTACTTGTCATTACTTTTATCTTAACTAAGGATCTCATTACAAGTACTCAACTTAAAAAAATGATTGAGCTAGGTTTTATAATGTGATTAAGAATTGTTTGGCTTGATTTTTGTGCTGACGTCATAATATAAATTCTGCTAAATAATTCTGCACTTAATGACAGGCAATCTGGAAAGCTTTTCTTGAAGCACTCATTGTAACGTTGCTGGTACTTGACTTTTTTTTTTCCATCCTTAATTAACCGCTAGGGAGATGACTCAAATTGGGTTTGAATGAGACCGTAAGATCTGTAGAGGACAGAACTGAAGTTGTGTGATGAATGAGCTGTGTCACTGGGAATGAGATCAGAGAATATATGTGCGTTTGTTGAAAACACAGTTGTTCTAGTCCATGAAAATTGGTTTTGCAGCTTACAGAAAAACCTCTTTTTTTATGCATAGGGAATAAAGTTCCATGTTTAACCATGAAGTGTTTGACCAGGTTTCTGTAACAAAAGATTCTGTGTTTATGGTACTTCAATTTTTACATCCATACTTTTCCATTTAAATGGTGTTCTGTTAAATTGGTTCGTATGATCAAAATGCGTATATGCAACTGCGTCCCTTCATCCCAATGTGTAGTGGGAGCTTATCATCAGAAAATGCCTTGTTCCAGGTTTTGTACTCTACGCAGGAGCAGAAAGAAGTGATTGAAGAATTACTAATCATTTTTAAGGAATCCTGCTATGTAATAAGATTCCTCAGCTTGCCTTAAAAGTGTTCCTTTTCTCTGTCTGTTGCGCAGGCGGCTTGTCCACAGTGATGACCTCCAGGCTTCGCGTGTTAGGCGGGAGGATCAGCAACATACGGGTATCGGAGCTGCCAAAGGACAAGAGTAGGTCAGAGGTCATCTGCAATGTGCACTTCCTGGATGGCACTGTCCAGAGCTTCAAAATCAGTGTAAGTGCCTCAGCTCCAGCCTTCACAATTCACCTGGAAAAACTGATCTGACTATGGGTGGGGAGATGATGAGGATTGGAACTTTGTTATACCAGTGTAACCCAGTTTCTTGGGGATCATTTAATCTCTAAATCTCTCTTTGTCATTCGTTTTATAACAAGTCCTACGATAACAGCAAATCGCCATCTTGGTCTTGTTTGATGAGGTAATTAAAAATGATCTTATTGGTCAGTGAAAAAGTATCAATTATAGTTCTATTGATCCTGGATTTGGAGGCAATTTGAGTGCATTTTAAACTTGATCTGTGTGACTTGAAACCTTGAGGACAGCATGGTACGGTCTTCACACGAACCAGCTACCCATTTTTGCAGAAGACAGGCTCAGTTTGGTAGCTGCAATGTAGAGCTGGATGCAGTTACGAAAGTGAATTGCTGTTCTCTAATTTAGCTATAATAGCCTGCTTTAATAAGATATTGCTGCTTTATTTGTTCTTTGCTATTTCTTCTGCTCAACACATTTGAATTTAAGGATGTTCAAGTAGTTTGTTTTGTTATCCCGATTTCATATTGACCCTAATGTTATGTGTACTGAGAGAGTACCTCTGACTTGATCTTTTTTAAGGCTTGAGAGCTGTTACAAATTTTAATTTGCTCTAATCTGTTAGAAAAGGTATGTTTTTGCTTGGTTCCAACATTATAACACCTTTACTCACTACTTTCATCACATAAATCATGTTTAAAACCTCTTACTCACATGGCAAAGATTTAAAAGCTTTATTGCTGTAAACCCAACCGAAATTTACACCCATCCCCTCCAGCAAATCTTTCCTTTTTCCACCGTCTCCTGTTCAATTCTCACATGGTTAATGGATTGATTAATGGCTCCATAGCAGTAAAAGTTAAATTGTTTATGATGCAAAAAAACTGGTTTACATTACAGGGAGTTTCTATGATCAATTACTTGGGTGCAACATGTAGGTTGTGTGGATTTTGCAAAGATTTGCCCAGTGGTTTTCTTTTCTGTTTAATTTTGATAAACTATCTAATTCTCATAACATGACATTTTCATTACTTCTTAAATCTTTATGCCATAACTGACTTAAACCCTGCTAATCTTGAAATTGGAGTGTCTTATGACAAGAAAGCTGGTGGAAATGTTAATGTTGCAGCTTCTGGGTCAGATGCCTAGAGCAGCATGCTAAAGGTCACTTCAGTGTTATTATTCAACTATGTAGGCTGGACTGGAGATGGGATTATGGAAATGGGAATCTATCCCACACCAGTGCACAAAATTCTAAAGACTTAGTAGTGTGTCTTGCTTCATTTCAGATGTTACATGCCGAGACTTAGCAACTGTTGTGCAAAAAGTCATCTTTAAATCTTTTAGTAATGTACTCAAGTTCAAAAGAAGCAAGGATTTTCACACTATGGCTTCTCTATACCGACACTCTACAGACATTTCTGAGAGTTTTAAGTGTCAGATTTGAATTGACAAATGGATGCAAGGTTTTGAATTTGTCAGAGCTTTCAAGGAGTCTGCTAAACACTGCCTCCTTGTGGTTGTCAGAGGTTCTGAAGCTCTTTATGGTATTACTTGTAAATTAAGCCTTTGTGTAGATTGAAAATAAAAAGACACTCTGACAATGCAAGCCAGAGCAGATGTGATGGCACCAAGGATACCGTTGTCTCACTTGCTATATTGGTCGATATGAAGTTCTTGAAACTGGTATGTTTGCATGTTTTTTTCTAATTTGTCTTTCGAATGTGTGTTCGAATGTGTATTGTTGGTGTTCAATATTTTTATTAAGTAACACGACATACAAAACAATTATCATGCAAATTTGAATACCAGGTTTGTGTGAGCCAGAAACAAAATCTTTAACGTCCTTTGTCACCATAGACATTGGTAGGTAGCTGGATCTGTATGGATGTATGAATATAGTATGTATCTACACATCTACCTCCGGGCAACATGAATCCTCAAAACAAAGAAATAAACTTCATATCTAGACATATTTAAATTGTCTATATTTCTATAGTGGGACAGCACAGTGGTGCACTAGTTAACACTGCTTGGGCCCTGGGTTCAAGACCGGATCTGGGGTGCTATCTGCATGGAGCTTGTATAGTGATGCAAGATCTGTGATAGGAAAACTGCTTCTACCTGGAAGTAAACGGGAAAAAATATCGGGGAATTGATCATTCCTAGAGGCAAGGTGGTACAGTGGTTAGCATTGGCTGCCTCGAGGTACTGGGGCCCTAGGTTTAATTCTGGACCTGGGGTGCAATCTTGATGGAGTTTATACAGTATGTATTCCCTGTAAAGGAACAAGTAAAGGTTTAGTCCTTGCTGAAAAGAGAAGAATAGAAACACAATGTTTTGTCTGTGTGGGTGTTCTTCTGTTTTTGTCCCCACAGTCCAAAGATAAACTGGTAGGGAAGTTGGCTTCTGGGAAAACTGGCCATGGTGTGCGTGTGCATCTGTGTGTGCCCTTCAAGGGATTGGCGTCCCGTCCAGAGTGTATCCTGCCATGTGCCTGTTGCTTGCTGGGATTGGCTCAGGCTCCCTGGCTCCCCTGAAATAAAGTATAAAGTGAATGGTTGGATATTTATATAGATTCAACTAATAAAGATAAATTTATATAATGGAGTACTTCAGTCAATTTTAGTTAAAATACAAAACATCAGATATTATTTAATTTGGCTTGTAAGATTTTCTTTTATTTGAAAAGTCATGTTTCCACGTGCTTTCTTTAAATTGCAAGTAGTTTCTGTAATTTGTGGCACAGTGTGAAAATCTTGCTCTGCTAAGACAGTTCTCTGATTGGGCACTGAAGGTCAGGGAGCAGCCACTGTCGGCAGAACTATTCAGCAGCACTATAACTGCTTATTATCTTTATAATGAGCACATGCAACACAATTCAATCTGTCCTGGTAACCTGTCCTTGGTTGCTCAGAGAAAATTGGGGTTTCTGTTAAAACATTTTTTGCTTACAATATATATGTCACCACATATGACACTCACACTGACAGTGATGGGGGAATGTTTTATTCAACTTGTATAAAACAAAAAATAAAGCCTTAAACCAGCCCTTTGTTTTAACTTTGTTTAAACAGTATTATGAATGCTGATTTTGCCCATTATATTTTCCATCGTGAACATTTTTCCTTTCTTCAGGGTCTGCAGGAGTTCTGAGACGTCCATTTGAGACCAACTGATTGTGTGAGAAAATGCATTTAGTCATTCTCACACATGCAGCTGTCTAGAGGGTGATAATACCCAGAGACAGCTACTGTGCTTTGAGAAGCAAAAGAATAAAGTCAGGTTTACGAAGTCGGCAGTGTGATGGTATAAAGTTTCACTTTGGAATGAAGTGGTCAGATAGCACCTGCTTTATCTTAGAAGTGACCTTATAGACTCCTTGGTGGACAGGGGAAAGGCTACAGTCACAGGTGGTGTAGGTTTCCTTGGACAGACATGACCAAAACCATTTTTGCAGTGCAAATAGCTCTAATAGCTTTAATTTCTGTTAGTTTAGTGGAAAATAGAATTCCATTTGCCTCTGTAGTTATCCCCAATAAAATTTGACTTTCAGTGTTCTTAAGCAGGAAAATTGCATTACTGGAACATTTTTTTCTGGAGTCTTTAGAAGAGTAAGAACGTATAAATGAAAGTTTAATTCCTATTTTCTAACATTTGTTAGAAGTGAGCTTCATGCCTCTTGTATACTGTACTAAATTCATTATTTTTACACACAATGATCCTGTGCTTTCTACTCACCTCAAATTTTAGTGATGTGCTTGAAGCCTGCCAAAACAATGTGCTTTAAAATGGTTTTGTAGAGAAAAGAATAAAGTTGTTTTTCTCCGAGATTTAAACCTGTCTACAAATGCATGAAAAAAGATTTTATTTTGGGCTGAATTGTCTGCATTTACAAAGTACGTTCTGACATGCTGTCACCAGAATAACAACATTTTGTAATAGCTTTAGAATGCACTTGAGGATCAGAATTTAGTATAGGATTGTGTGACATTAATAGAGGCCTGTATCCCTCTCAAATCCCATGAATCTCAATTTTCAGTGTCAAGGTTTTTTTTTGCTGTTATTTGATAAGGGACTCACATTCATATTATGATACAATAAACAAATTCCTAATAATGTTATGTTAGAATGATCTTTTTTAAAAAAGAATACTGTAGAACTGTTGGATTTTAGAATCTTTTCACCAGATTTCAAATGGTTTATTTTTGGTGAGAATAACAAATTATTCAGGAGCTGGGTGAAATAAATGAAATTATTGGATTTTAACTGGTATGTTTGACTGTATTTGAGCAGTGATTGAGAAAATGTTGAGTCTGTATCATGTGCACTGTTGCAGCTGGTTCACTGATGCACTTTATCCCAGTTCAGTTCAGTCTTGCACTAGCATTGTAATGAACTGTGTGGCAAGTTTCAGAATGACTGTGCATTCATTAGAAGTATCAGCTGCCCTGCTTTCATGGCAATGGAGGGCATAGGGAAGCAAGCACAGCACTGCAGTCCTGTACATTTAGATTACAGTGTAAAAACAAGACACAGGACTCTGGCACATACTGCAAAAATTGTATGCACCATAAAGCATAATTACTTTCCCCCAGAAAATAAGTACAGAAAACACTAAATTCAGTAATGGATGCATTTTTTACATTTCTTTTATAGAAGTGAGAGCTGTCTGTCCTTTATGGGGGGGGGGGGGGAGTTCAGATCTAAACATGAAACAAAACTGAAATGTCTTAAGCCCCAAAACACTCAACACTACAATAGCTGCTCATACTGTAGGTCTCATGTTACTTTATACAAAGAAACAGACCGTGCAAAAGGTGACAGGGTGTAGCATAACATACCATTATTTTAATCTTTCCTGTTCCCTTTTTTTGAGTGAGTGTGCTCTGCCCTCACGGTTGGAGTGCAGTGTTCCTGAAAGGGCTTGTTTGTGTTTGATTCAGCGCTCCTCCTATCAA